ATCTGAAAAATTTGGTGGACAAGTTTCAACAGGCCTCCAAACTAAAAGTAAATTGGGGAAGTTGTATGGTAGGAATAAACATAGGGGAGGGGGACATCCAAGCCATGGCAAATTTGCTAGGCTGTGAAGTGAAAAGTTGGTCTTTAGAATACCTATGTATGCCCTTGGGGGGAAACCCGAAAACTAAAAGCTTTTGGAAGCCAATCTTAGAGAGATTCACAAAGAAGTTGGCAATGTGGAAGAGAAATTATATTTCCTTGGGGGGGAGAATCACCTTGATAAAATCCACCCTAGCAAACCTGCCCACCTATTTTCTCTCAACCTTCAAGATAGGTTGTGGCACAGGGTCGTTAAGAACATTCATGGTGAAGCAGAAAATGGTTGGGATGCAAAACTAGCTTCCAATGCAGCTCCGAATTCCCCCTGGAAGGCAATCTTTGAGGTACTACCAACCTTTCTTCAATTTATCTGTTTCAATGTTGGGTGTGGCAATAAAGTTTTATTCTGGGAAGACCTTTGGGTTGGGGATTTGCCTTTTAAGGTTAAATTTCCGGACCTCTACTCTTTACCAGACCTTAAAAACAAACCTGTTGCTAGAGTTGGCATACTTTCAGACTTGGGTATCTCTTGGGACTTTGGCTTTAGAAGGGGGCCAAGGGAAAATGAATGTGAGTCCCTATTGCTTTTGCTATCAACCCTTGAGAAGGTCTATTTAGACCAAACTACAGCTGATAGTAGAGTCTGGTCCCCAACTCCTGATGGTTTATTTTCTTGTGCCTCTTTCTTCGGTTTGCTCACTCATTCTAATCCTTTGAGGGTGAACTTTCCAGTGAGAGAAATCTGGTGTAAACCGATCCCTCCTAAAGTACAAGCCTTCTGTTGGGAAGTCTTCCTAAGGAAGGTAAACACTTGTGATGTGCTACAGAAAAGAAGGCCAAATAAGTCCCACTTACTCTTATCTTGCCCTTTTGTTTCTTGTATTTGGGAAATTGTTTGTTCCCTCTTTGGATGTAGATGGGCTCCCCCACAGGATGTCGTAAGTCTATTCAGCCCCTCCCTCCTGAGGCAACAAAAGAAAAGAGGGAAGTACTTATGGAAGGCAGCAAGAGCTTCTTTGGTATGGACTATATGGGAGGAAAGAAAGCAAAGACTCTTCTCTAAAAAAAGTAAATCAAAGGAGGAAGTCATTGAAACCATAAAAATCAGAACTGCACATTGGGTGATGACCATAGAACTACTCAAAAACTTCTCCACAAATGAGATTCTAAGAAGACTGAAGTAGCACAAACAGATGTACCCAAAAAAGTTGTGAGAGTGGAGTGGAAGCCACCTGCACTGAACAAACTAAAACTAAACTTTGATGAGAGTTCCCAGGAAGGGCAGGTATAGGGAGTGCTATTAGAAATCATCTAGGTGAAGTTGTGGCACTCTTCTCAGGACCAATAGGTATTGGTGACTCAATACAGGCTGAATCTTTGGCTCTACTTCAAGGTTTAAAGATGGCTGAG